ACTTACCGGTCACTCCTACCCCTGAGACCTGTATGGCACACTTTAACCACTCGCTGTCGTTAGCTTGCTGAACGGATTATCTTTTGGTCAAAGCGAAGTCAAACATTGGCTATCTGTTTACTCTCCTCGGCTCGTAATGTTTGAGGTCAGTATGATCGATGAACTCACAGAGGCCGATCAGAACCTCTCTGAAAAGTCTGGCACCACCATAATAAAGAAGAGCGTGAATATCCAGAGAAAGAGTTTAACTTTTCTTAAGTTCAGTAAGGTTATTATGAAGCGGGACCTCCAATTTAACTACCTTCTCCAGTAGGACTGATCCTCGTTGGTGGAGAGCCTTGAAAACTCGTGCAAATGGCTGTGTGGAGTGTATAATCATGATTTTTACAACGGATAACATTGATCACTTTACTTTACCCTATTTTACCCTTCCTCTTATATCGCCAGATGTCATGGGGAGATGCAATTTCTGGACAAAGGCTAGGTGGGTTGCTTCTATTGTTGATACGTTATTCTTCTGGAGGACCTCTTTAACGTCATCCAGCCAACTGTTGCATGGAGTTACATATTTTATCATGTTTTATGGGGAAATAGAGGGTTGTTGTTGTCTGTGTGGTGCTTTCTACGCTGTTCTTTTATACCGGTAACATCACACACACCGTGCCACATAATACGATGTACTCGTGGTGTATGAGAGTATTGAGAGAGACATGAAGGGTAGGAACAAAACCTTCAGGTAGGCAGAGGGTGCCACTCGTAGGTCTTGCTTCTTTTCTTTCCCTTTGTTGTTTATGCTTTTTCTGTCTTACTTTTCCTTTCTACTACGTGACAGCTGGCTTGTTGAAGTGCTTCACTTTACTGAAACAAACAAGCTAAACTCATCTCTGAAAGGATTGAGTTGAGAAGGTAGCCACGGGTTGTGCTGTATTACAACTTAGTTGGTATCATTCTCTACATTCCTGATGACACGGGAAGGATTCCGTTGTAGGGTGTTCTTGAAGTAGTAAAAACAACTTTTATAACTACAAACATTTACGCCCCCATCGATACTCTTTACATCATGCAAGAGGCAGACTGCTTTGAACTGTCATTGCCAATCCGGACTTACAGGGATACACATTTTCAGCAGATATAATATATGGAGATACTTGTACTAGGTTATTAAAAAAACAACAAACTAACTCCCCCCCCCCCACCCCGAAAACCCCAACAACTACAACAACAACACTGGAATCAAACTCAGGCCATCGGTGTGCGACTGTGAAGCATTTAACCGATATCACATAGACACCTTTCTTGAACTTGAACAGATTTTTTTTGGGGGGGGGGGGATTTTAAACCTGTTCACTCATCTGATTCAGTTCTATCGGAGATGGACGTTAAATACGGACGGCAGCCTCTCCAATAGCTGTACGGTATTTACAGCGGGCGGCGTGGCCATTATCACACCGTACCGTCTCAGTAATTGGCTTCCAAACCACTGTCTTTGTAACCATGGGTTATGCTATAGAGAAGTAAGAGTAAGAGTTTCCGACGAAACGGATAGTTTGTTTTTATTTGTTTTTATTTTATTTTTATTTTTTTTAGGTGCCCAAAGAATGATATTTTGCGCTCATTATTATGGCCTATGGAATGTGCAGAAAGTAATAATTTATACAATGTATTGACCTTAAAAAAGACCGTTTCTCATTCCGATAAACTAAATGATAGCGGTGTGTGTACAACAGGTCGCAACGCTGTATGCTTTCTGGTTGGCTGACATTTTTTAAAAGGAATACAAAGTTTGGCTATGGGAGTTATTGTTCAAAAGCCTGTAAAGGAATGAGAGTCTTTAGGGAGATACACAACCAAAAAAAAAAATCATTTTATTTTATTGTATCACGTTCGGCCTTGATAAGTACCTCCAGGTAAAGTCTTTCACAGCAAAACGGAAGTATTGATCTGCAGTATATATCTGATCTAGGAGTATGTCATACAAAATACATGACACTGGGCGACTCAAATGGCGAAACCAAAACATTCGCTAAAAAAAAAGAAATGGGCACTTTGCTAAAAAAAGAAAAAAAAAAAGAAATGGACACCCTCTCCCCCCAAACCCTTTTCTAAAAAAAAAAGGATGAAAACCAAACCAAACCAATCTGTGTACAGTTCCATATGTTCTAAACAGAAGTAGAACCAGCGTCTGTGGTGAAACGGTGAGGGATTTCGTTTTTGCCTGCAGGAGATCCGAGTTCGATTATCCAGTGAGGGAATTTTCTTTGTAAAACAGTGCTGTTGTCGGTCTTTTTGCTGGGATGTTGTGTCCCTCTCAGCCTGGGTTGACCCTGACGGGCAGGGTCGAAAGCCCGCCTCCTGAATTATTTAGATTGAGTCACTTGGGGTGTAAAGATATGTCTACATTAGAAAGAAATAACACAGAAGAAATAGTGTATCAGGAAGGCAGATCGATGTAGCGGGCTGGGTGCAAGTTGGAAAGGCGGGTGAGAAGCGGATTTGTTAGTGCAAGAAAGTAAGTGTATGAGTAATACTACCTCTATTTAAACTTTTAGGTTATTTCAGAGGCGGGACCTGTAAATTTAACGTCTCTCTCCGAAAGGTTGAAAATGAAAGCCTTGAAAACTCCACAAAATGACCCAAGCCCAAAGACACCCAGTTTGGGATTCGAACCAGGACCATTTTCACCGTAGTCCAGTAGGATACCAACTGAGCAAACGGGGCGCCCAAAAGGAGGTGAAGAGGTTTGAAGAAGAAAGGGAGGGGGGGGGGGCAAACACGCAGACAAACAGCAACCAACAACCACTCCAAACATTGTGAGTCATAACAAACCTGCTTGAAGTTCACCTCAGCAATAGACCAAAACGTATGAAGGGTAGATTTGATTTCATTTGAGCTGTCAGCTACGCAGCAACTGTCGAGAACCACGGTAATAATACAGTGAAGGTGAAAACAAAATGTTGAATTGTGCTGCTTGATAACTCTACGAAGTAATACTGACAGCTCAGAGCCTTGTTCAGTGACAGGGCAGAAAGAGATCGTTGGCTGAGCACTTCGAAATGAACATGAGAACACACCAGAGGCATTGTCTGAGCAGTTGAACCAACTACGTTTTTGGTCCTATACAACGTAACCGCATTCCACATCTAAAAATAATAATCTAGAAATCTTGAAGAAATAGTAAGTATATAATTCAGATTGAACGCGGAAGCGGTAAGTGTTTACAATTACATACGAGTATTATAGGCCTACATTTACATGTCCAAGACTTCTATCCAACGTCGAGGAAAAGTGGACGTCTAAGACAGGCTGTTGTAGTGTACCCATGAAAATGTTAAATATCGTATCAGAAAAAAAAGCAAGGTAGCTTGTACAGGTTAGTTTTGGACAGATAGTCATTGGGACAGGTTTGGCTGTATAGCATAATAATAATATTAGAGGACATAATTTTGTCTCAAATTATAACCATGCCACTTCCTAGTAATTTACAAAACTTTTTTCTTCCAGGTGACTGAATTAAGGTAGGCTACATACGTGCTAACCTGGTATAATATTATTACAGATCTAACTTATATTCTTCTTTTTATAACTGGTGTCTGCCGAAAAATCTTTTGATGATTTACATATTTATATCTGTTATACATTTCATCCGTGTTATTCCACCCTCTGGCCATATTATCGTGTTCTCGCAAGGGGTTGCAGGTGTGCAATTTGTACTTGAAAAGCCCCACAACAATGCAGAAGACAGATGTGTTTTGACAGTTAAAGACCTTTAATCCGCATATTTCTGGACTGAAACAGATTGAAAAACATCAGATTTATAGATGTGACTACGTGTGGTCTTTGGCATGAAATTGAGTATTCTGAATCGGCGTTTCGAAATACATGTACATCGAACCTTGGTTAATGATCGCCTGTCCAAGACAATCACTTATACAAACGACCACTCTCCCCCCCCCCTTTATTGCATTAAAAAACAACAACATTAAAATAAGCTTTCCAAGATTACCACCCATCTAAGATGACCATGTTTACCCTCAACAATGCTTAGTCGTCTTTAACAGTTTTGGACGTACATGTATTTTGTATGAAGAAGAACCGGACTATCCAGTAGATTTATCATAGTTATAGCCACTCAACTACATTTAGGGAGAATAAAAATGGGAAATGAACAAGCTTCTTTGGGCTCCTTGTGCAAGTGTTTGTGTGCATGAGTGTGCTTGTACGTGTGTTCGTATGTTGGGCTATGAAGCGAGTAGATCTGTGAGCATATTAAGCCCTATATGTGCATAATTATGAATGTTATTGGGTGCGTGTGTATACCGTGTATGAATATGATCGCGTGCGTGTATATTCGTGTGTGTGTATTTGTGTGTGTGTGTGTGTGTGTGTG